TTCAGGTGAAATTCACATAACATCCAATTAACCATTTAAGGTGTACAGTTAAGTGGTGTTTGGTGCACTCACAATGTTATGCAACCACCATTGCTTTCTAGTTTCAAAATGTTGTCCTCGCCCCAAAACACCCATACTAGTCTCCCCTCCTCCCATCTGCTTTATGACTCTTATCGACTTGCCTATTCTGGATTTATCATATAAAAAGAATCATACAATATGTGTCTTTTTGTGTCTGGCTTCTTTCACTTAGCATAATATTTTTGAGGTTCATCCAAATTATACCATGTCTCAGGACATCATTCCTTTTCATGCTTGAAAAATATTCCATTTTATGTATATATTGTCTTGTTTATCCATTCAGCCATTGATGGACACTGGAGTTGTTTCTACCTTTTGATTAATGTGAACCTTTGTGTACAAGTTTCTAAGAAGTGAAACCATGTCTTATTGCAACCCTGATAAAATGGGGAAAATCATGTTTAAGGTAGTAGCTCAGCACCCATCCCACGACAAGTTCCCAGGTGTGCAGCAGCACTAATTTAAAAGATGCTAAACCCAATCAAGTAGAAAACCTGGGTGTTTTCTTAGCCGCATATCAAACTGGAAAACTCCAGAGGCTGACACTGGCACCCGAACACATTCAACAGGGACCCTGTTCTCCACCCAGATACAATCAACAAGGGCGAAACTGACCACACTGCCGCCAGGAATGAAGAGATGCCGTGGCCAACTTCAGAGACGTCTGAACAGGAGTCTTTGAAATGATTAATGAATTAACAGCAAGGAGAAGTGAGTTCTTAAGATCATGTGCCTGGAGGCAAACAAAGGGTAGCAGTGAAAAGAAGAATTCAGAACCATTGTCTACTTTTTTTCCATGAAGTTTTTTTTTTTTAAAGGACTGCACAGCTGCAGGAATTGTGTGAGCATTTGGGGACTGTCAAGCCATCATCTGACTTTGTGAAGAATTCTTCTGAGGTGGATTTTATTGTTTTCAGCTGGAAAATCCATCCCACCACTCCCCACCCCTTCAAAAGCACAAAGCCACATGCCCACCAAGCACTGCCTCTCTCTTCTGCCCTGACGTGACCAGAAAGCAAGAGTCCACCCCGAGGACCACACCATGAGGAGACATGGTGGGGACAGCGACACCTCACCAGGAGGAGCAGCTCAGCGGAGATCACCTTTGCTACGGGCATTTGTCCCTTTGTGGAATCTCTGTTTTCTTTTTCTTTTTTTGGCAGGCAGTGATCTTGACTTTCTAAGGGTTCAGAAGAATGTTCTGATTTCCCTTTCTAAAACTTTCATGTGCAGCAGCACATGAATTCTGTATCCACATGCACAATGGAGAAATACTACTGGCAACAAATAGAGAGTTTAGGGGAAGGGATGGGGTGGAGGTTGCAGAGAAGGAAGCCGACATCTGCTCCTGCTCACAGCATTCAATTTGGCCCACCTCAAAGTAGCCCCGGCCCCCACTGGCTGCTGATGCTCTGATGTTCACAGAGCAGCTCAGCCCTCCTCCAAATCACCATGTCAACACAGGGACCCAACAAAGTGTTGAAAAAGAAACGTGGAGGACCTCCTTCAGACACATGCTATGAACAGAAGCAGCCACCACTCCAGTGCTCTTCGCTCAGAAACCACATGTCAGCCTTTGCCAACTCTCTGCCTTTGAGGACAAGCTTTGAGGAAGACCACTGCAGGATAATCCTTTCCATATTGGAGATAAATGCTAAAGTTTTCCAGACCCATCATGAAAGAAAGGTTCTTTTTTTTTTATAATTTTTTTCCTTTTTTTTTAATTGAAGTATAGTCAGTTTATAATGTGGTGTCAGTTTCTGGTGTACAGCACCATACTTCAGTCATACATATACACACATGTATTTGTTTTCATATTCTTTTTCATCATAGGTCACTTGAAGAGAAACAAATCCAGCCAAGCACTCTTCACTGTAGGAACCCTGTGTGACAACTTCCCCACCATTAAAATGCACTCAAAAGGGACAATTCTAAGGACTTCCCAGAAAGAGAGGTGGAGGAAAAGAGAGCTGGAGAGAGTTCTGGGTAGAGAGTCAGATGTGTCTGGGAGTTCAAGCTCAAGAAGACCTCAAGATAAACATGACAATTTAGTGTATACATTTTGTTAAAAGAATATTCATACTGAGATACAAAAAGGAGAAGTTCACTAGCATCTCTGACTTTTAACTATGGTAAAACACACACACGTAGCATAAAAATTAACCATTGTAACCACGTTGAAGTCTATAGTACAGTAAGTTAACTATATTTACCTGGTTGGGCAACAGGTCCCTAGAACTTTTTTCACTGTGCAAAACTGAGACTCTGTAGTATTAACAACTCCCTTTTTCCCCCCTCCTCTCAGTCCCTAGGAACCACCATCCTACATTTTGTTTCTGAGAGTTTATAGTCCCTGACCTTTTTTTAATTTTATTTTTTGCTGAAGTATAGTTGATTTACAATGTTACTTTCAGATGTACAGCAAAGTGATTCAGTTATACATATACATACATATATTTTCTTTCTTTTCAGATTCAATAGAGTCCCTGACTTTTAAAACTGCTGCCCAACATATATCTGGAGGGAACTCTAATTCAAAAAGATACACACACAATGTTCATAGCAGCACTATTTACAATAGCCAAGACATGCAAGCAACCTAAAGGTCCATTGACAGATGGCTGGATAAAGAAGTTGTGGTATATTTATACAATGGAGTACTACTCAGCCATAAAAAAGAATAAAATAATGCCATTTGCAGCAACATGGATGGATCTGGAGATCATCATTCTAAGTGAAGTAAGCCAGAAAGAGAAAAAAATAAAAGTACCATATGATATCACTCACATGTGGAATCTAAAAAAGAAAAGAAAAATGAGGACACTAATGAACTCATCTACAAAACAGAAACAGACTGGCAGACATAGTAAACAACCTTATGATTTCTGGAGAAACAGGGTGGGAAGGGATACATTTGGGAGTTTGAGATTTGCAAATGTTAATCACTATATATAAAAATAGATAAAAAACAAATTTCTTCTGTATAACACAGGGAACTATATTCAATATCTTGTAATAACTTTTAATGAAAAGGAATATGAACATGAATATATGTATGTGTATACATGACTGGGACATTGTGCTGTATACCAGAAATTGATATGATGTAACTGATAGTACTTCAATTAAAAAAAAAAAAAACTGCTGCCCAAGCCAAGCCCTGTGCCCAGTGCAGCATTATATCAATATTGTTATTATGATGCTTGTTGTCTCATCATCCAAATCAATGTTCATTTCCACACAGAGAAGCAATTTTGCAGTAAATAACATACAAACATCAAATTACAATTCCAGAAATGTTTTGTAATTGAGCAAGACAGTCAGAGAAAAGTTATGTCCATCACCTAATCCTCCCCAAAACATTGTGCTCAGGCTTGAGTTGACAGTATGAAATTCTCATAGAGCCTGGAAAAAGTTCTGTGTTAAAATGAAGGTGAGTATGAAGCCTAAATAATTGAAAATTCTGCAATTTTTTTTATCTGCAATGAAGTCACAGTAAGTATAAGACTCAGAGAGGAAAAGAATGTGCTCCTCATAGGGTGGCTAGACATGGGAGTGAACCAAAAAGAATGTTGTGCAATCACCTTCCCTGAAGGGCACCAGAATTCTAGAATTTGTATGCAGATTCTCATCATGACATCACTGAAGGAACCCCTTGTATTTCATTCCCAGGCTTCAATTCCATGATTCTAAAGCACCAGGGTTTTCACAGGCCATCCCAGTGGTCCAGGGATGGGCTGAGAAGTAAGTCAGGGACCCACTGGGAGCTTATCTCTGGGGCTGAAAAACAGAGATTCTGCTAACACCCTGTATTGGGTTTTACCTTTCTCCTTCCATCCTCAAAGTCTACCTGGGAGGCAGGAGATGGTAGAGTCCAAAGTTATGACACTAGAAAGGCTAACACTGTGTTTCTGAAAGCACAAGTCTGAGCTGGCTCCAGAAGTCCAAAGATAAAGTCTCCCAGCCCTGTGTACACAGTAAGTGAACTCAAAGCAAGGAAGCCACTGCGCCATCCAAGACCATTGGTGGGAGCAGCAAAGCTCACAGCGAGGTGTTCGGACTGCCTGGGGACAGCCTGGCTGGGTTTGCATCTCACCTCTGGCCTGAAGCCCTGGACAAGTCAGCAAACCCCTCTCTGCCCCAGTTTCCCTAAGTGTAAAATGAGGGTGATGCTGGAAATGATCTCAAAGGGTTGTGGTGAAGATAAAATGAGTTAATATATCAAAAAGCATTTAGCGTAGTGCCTGACAAGCAACTCGGAAAAACGCCAGCAATTGGGATTACTAATCCATCCACAATAGGCACTCACTTCTTTCTAACACTCTATTCCTCCCCTCTCTTTCCCCATCACCTTAATTTTCTTCCTTTTTTTCCCTTATCAGATACTGCCTCTGCCCCCACCCATTCCCATGGGCAAGACCAATCCCCTGTTTGGTGATTTGAGAAGACTTCTTTGCCATATCATTAAACTTCCTGTAAATTATAATTAGACATTCATTCCTATAAATAAATAATCATCCTTTTTAATTAAAAAAAGCCCTGGGAGAAGAAGTACACTAAATTGTTAGCCTGCCTCCTAATCACTCCAATACATTCTCTTGCAGTTAATATCTGTCTGAAACGGTCTTGTTCATTGATTGATTATTTAATTACTGTCCTCCCCAAGCTCTGTAAAAACAAGAGCTTATCAACCTTGTTCAGCACTGTATTCTGAGCCCCTACAACAGAGCCTGGCATGTAGTAGATACTCAATAAATATTTGTCAAATGTCGAATCACTGAAGTGTTTACTTTCCCCCAAAATATGCCATGCTGTCCACCCTCCTGCTCTCTGAAGATGCTGTTTCCTCTGCCCAGAATGCAAGATTCATTCCAGATGTTCAGTGACTGCCAACTATGTGCTCCTGGGCCCATTCCTACCAGTTCTCCAGGGCTCAGTGTGGGCATTATGTCTTCCACGGGGCTTCCTCTGACCCATCCAGGCAGGGTTGGTGCTCCTCTGTCAGCTCCCATGGGTGCCCTTGCCTGGGCCACCACCAGCTCAGCATTCCTGAAATCATCACAGACCAGAAAATCCCTCAGTATCACAAAGTCTATAGTTTTCTCTATAAAATCACTACGGGAGTAGATACTAACAAAACTGAATACCCAAGGGACTGTTGTGGAGGGAGGAAAGTGATGGGGGAGCCTGCCGGACTCAATCCCTGTTTCAATGCCCCGTTCCCAATCATGATCTGGCCCTCAGCAAAATTCTAGATGGCTCTATGTTAGGTCTTGAGGATAATTTGAAAAGAGTCAAAACCTCTCCCACCAAATCCATAAACACCAAAGGTCCAGTTGTGCAATTGTTAGGTTTCTCATGCTGAGAATTCTTTGGAGGGAAACTGTGTCTTCCCCAGTCTCCCCACATTTGGCCCAGTGTTGGAAAGTGTTAAAACCTCCATCATGTTTGTGAACTAAATGAATGTTTTTTTAATTTCTAGCAGTTTAATTACTTTGGCTATGAAACTGTTTTTTTTTTAATCACACTTTGAAGCATTTCGATGATACAGTTTCCCCATCCCAAGAACACGATGTTTAAAAATAAAAGATTTCTTTCTACTTCTTCCTTCTCCAAGTTGAAATGATGCATCTAAGACAGAAAATCCAGAAATAACACAGGCTGAGGACGGAATTCCAGACACTTCAGCAGAGTCAGCTCTATTCCGAATCAAGACACAAGGTCTTGACAAGTGACCACCCACACACTTGGGTTAGGCCATTGTCTTCCATTCTACACTGATGCTTTCTGGACACACTTGCTGGGGGTGAAAAAAAAAAAAAAAAGCTCTAACTGTGACAGAGTGAGAGAGGGGCACAGGCCAATGCAGGAAAGCAAAACTTGCCCCCCCAAATGTCTCTTCAGCCTGCAGATTATTTTGAGCTGGAAACAATCAAGGCCCAAAGACTCAGGAAAAAACTGACCATCCCCCAAACTGCCTAAAACAATGTTGGTAGAGGACCAATTCCAAAAAGGGAGCTATTACTGTAGATATTAGTATGAACTAGGTGCACAGACAATGTGGAACCTAGCAAAGTCTGTTACAATTCCTGTGTCCCATTGTTTCTGCCTGACCCAGCAAACCTCTGTTTACCAAACTTTTGCTTTTCCATCTCCATGTGAATTGCCTTCCTCCCCTTTGAGGTCCCAAACCACTCCCCCCAACATCCTCTCTCATCTTTAGTTGAAGACAGTATTTAAGGTGAGGGCTTTGGCCATTTTGGTGAATTACTCAGTTTTCCTGTGTCCCTCCCAAGTATATATGTTATTAGACTTTTGTGCAATTTTCTCCTATTAATCTATCTCACGTCAACTTAATTCAACTTATACCAGCCAGAAGAACCTAGATAGGTAGACAAAAACTTCTTCCTCCCATACACCAACATCAACAGATTTAACCAAAGTCAGTGTGGAAAGGGTCTGAACTTGTTCCCCTGCCCCCAACCCAGAGATAATCCAAAATCAAGTCAGGCCCAGAAGACATTTTGAGAACCCCCATCTGTGGGAATATGCCCTCAGCTGCCTATGGGAACAGGTAATAAAATGGAGTGAGATCAACATGCCCAGTTTTATTTCTAGACTATGTAATTGAAACAGAAACAGCCTAAAGTTGACAAATTTTCTCAACTGTACCATAGCAATGATTTATATCTCTTGTAATCTTAATATTGCCTCCAAATGTGTGAAAGACGGAATGGTACCATTTCAAGAAATGTAATTTTTGATGTCAAAATAAGTTAGTCATTATATCAGTTCCAGACAGTTAGAGACCTCACCCAGATATATGTCTGTACAACACATCCTCCTTTGAAATACTCTGTTTCGTTGCTGAAAGAGAAAATACACTGGAATTGTTTGGGGACAAATTTAGACACGTTGGGCATAAAATATGCAGACAGCTGCTTGGTATGCAATTAAAATACCACTGGTGAGAACGACTGGTCTGGCAAGGGTAATAGGGAATAGACTTTTCCCTTCAGGAAAGCAATTCCAGTTGACAGCCTCACTCAGCAAAATGAGATAGAGTTCTTACCCTGGCTCCTGGGGAGGGGTCCACCTGACCCCTGTTCAGCACCTGATCAGCCACTGACAGACGGCGCAGAGGGGAGTCAGAAATACTTCTGGAGCGGAAGCAGAGCTAAACACACTTCCATTCCGAGTTCACAGACAAGGCACAGCTGAGTGCATCAAAGCACTCGGCTGATGCAGCCTTCTGGGAGCAAGTTGCAAGAGTGACCTTGGGTCTGGAATCATGAGTGACCCACTCCATGTCCTGGAGGAGACACATTGGAGCTAGAAGTCACCAAATGCACATAACACCTCCAACAGTGCCTGTGGCAGGGTTCCTAGGGGATGCAGCTGCGCTCTTCAGAGTACTCAAAAATTCCAAAATGGCAGGCAAGCTTTCTAGTTCATGAGGAAAAGGCCAGTTTATTCCACGGTTTCACCAAACCTGTAGGTGAGAGAAAGTCCTGTCTCTAAGTTATTCCTCTTCTCTTTTTTTATGGAAAATATCAAACACATACAAAAACAGAGACTAACATTATGAATCTTTTACTCATCACCTAGTCTGAACAATTACCAACTTCGAGTCAATCCTGTTTCATCTATAACTCACCCACTCCCCTCCATCAACACTGGATTCCTTAAGGCAAATCCCAGATGTCATATCATCTCATCAATAAACATTTCATTTTGTATCTTTGAAAGATAAGAGCTTTTTTTTAAGCACAGCCACTAACAAATGTAAAAACTTTAAATAATTCCTTAACAGTATCAAATATCCAGCCAGGAATCAAACTTATTTGTCTCATAGTATTTTTATTGTTCATTCAAATTGAGGTCCATATATTGCAACTGATATGTCTTATATCTTAGTCCATAGCACTCTCTTTCACTCTCTCTCTCTCTCTCTCTCTCTCGCAATTTATTGTTGAAAAAAAGAGGTTTTCTACAGTATGGAGATTCCTTAAAAAGCCAAGAATAGAGATACCATGTGATCCAGCCATCCCATTCCTGGGCATAGATCCAGAGAAAACTCTAATTTGAAAAGATACATGTACCCCAATGTTCATAGCAGCACTATTTACAAAAGGCAAGACATGGAAACAACCTAGATATCCATCAACAAATGACTGGATAAAGAAGATGTGGCATATAAATACATACAGTGGAATACTACTCAACCATAAAAAGAATAAAATAATGTCACTTTGCAGCAACATGGATAGATCTAGAGATTATCTCACTAAGTGAAGTAAGTCAGATAGAGAAAGACAAATATCATATGATATCACTTATATGTGGAATCTAAAAAAAATGATACAAAAGAACTTATTTACAATACAGAGACTCATAGACATAGAAAACAAACTTATGCTTACCAAAGGGGAAAGACGGGAGAGAAACTAGGAATTTGGGATTTGCAGATGCACATTACTATCTATAAAACATATAAACAACAAGGTCATACTGTATGGTACAGGGAACTACATTCAGTATCTTCCAATAACCTTCAATGTAAAAGAATATGAAAAAGAATATATATGTACATGTATAATTGAATCACTATGCTGTACACCAGAAACTAACACAATATTGTAAATCAACTATTCTTCAATTTTTTTTAAAAAATGGGTTTCCTTCCCTGAATCATTTCTCATATTCTGAATTTTGCTGGTTGTACCCCCATGGTGTCTTTTAACATGTCTCTCTTCCCCCGTTTCTTCCTGTAAACTATTAGTTAGGTCTAAAGTCTTCATTACATTCAGATTTGATTTTTCTTTTTTGACAAAAATATTTCCTGAATGGTTAAATACAGGCATCAGCAAGCACACCATGGCTGGTTATTTCTCTTTTTATAATGTTAGCAGCCACTGCAGATCATTGCCTGAATTAACTGTTTCATTAGTGGTTGCAAAATGGAAATGTGCTCATCCTATTCTTTCTTTGTTTTACTTGAGTACTTCTTTAAAGAGAATGGTTCCTTCATCGGCTGTTACCCTGAGGTACACCTTGCAAAGGAAAGAAGGTAAAATGCTTGATTCTTTCCCTTTATCACAAAAGAATTAGTTCCCGAGCATCCTCAAGAGGACTTTGTTATTTTTGAGTATCATTATGACTCATGAATTTAAAAGTATTTTGTATATTTCAGTCTGTTGCAGTTATTGGTCCATTGTTTATTGATGCTCAAATTGTCCCATTTTTTAACTAACAAGAATCCCTTCAAGTTGGCTCCTGAGTTCTTTTGTCAATAGCCCATATTCTTTAATAAATACCTTGCTTTATGTTATAGTAAGATGTTCCAGGCTCATCCTGGATATTTTGTACTCCAGAGCTGAAGTCAGACAACTCTCTAGGGAACACTTTTTGTTCTTAGAGTGTACAACCACTGACGGTGTGCTTTAAAGTCTCTTGGAATAGATTTTATGTGGTTATGTCACCAACTTGATACTCAGTTGAATTCATTTGTTTCATTTTTTATTTGATATTTTGGAGATTTCTTTGATCACGTTTCCCTACTTTACTTTTTTCACTTCACAATATATTATCAAAGTATCCTGATGATTACTTTGTGATGATTACTCATTTACCTTTATTTGTTCTTATAGTTACATGTAGCTATAAAAATAGTTACACTATTTTTATAGCTACATAGTACTCCATTGGATGGCTGGATCATAATTTATTCAATCAGTCTTCTATTGATGGACACATGGGTTGTTCCCAGCCTTTCTCATTACAAATACTGCAATTTAATAAACTTCAATTCAATAAACTGTCTTGTGCATTACTTGGGTACATAACTTTGGGGACAGATGTATCTTTGGGACAGATCCCTACATGTGGGATTCCTTGACCAATGGGTAAGTGGTAACTTTACTAGATACTGTCACAATCCTGGATGCTCTTCTTTGTTCTACTTTACAGAGCTTTATGATATTTTTATTGGATTTGCATTACATGTAGAGGTTAACTTAGAGAGGGTTGACATCTTTATGATGTTAAAC